TATATGTACATATATATTAAAATATTATTTTATATTGATCTATATATATAAATATATTATTATACTATTTTTTTTAATATTAAATTATTTTTATAAAATGAGAGACAAAACAGTCACTTCACCTCTAATCTCATGTGATTGGATTTGAATACCATCTCCTTCGCGGGTTTGGAGTGGGTTTGTAATAACTCACACCCATCTTATATCATATTGGGAGTGGGGCAAATCTGGTGGCAATGGTGGTTGTGGGGTTAAGAAGGGGGTTGTAACCCCCCGAAATTAATAACCATAATTCATTCCACGATATTTATTAAATAACCACAATAATTATCTTCCCTTCATATGATTTCATTGTACAAAAGGTAACACATGCAGTTATACATTCATAAGTCCTAACCCTGAATCTATAACATGTGCCACAAGTTAAAGACATAAAATAAAAGTTAAACAGATAAATAAATGTCCTAATGGCTAGAACTTTCCATGACGATGTTTGGTTATAACAAAAGTGAGTTTTAACTCAATATAGTTTAAACCCTAGGCTTGTACAAAAATAATTACAACAATAACAAAAGAAGTGCCTGACTCCTAGTCCTCCCAAGCTACGGCCTTGGCGGAGACATATCATCAGCACCTGAAAATGGTTTTCCACATAAGGTGAGCCAAAGCCCAGTGAAGATACTCTAACACAGTTTATGAATCTTAACAAAGCTATAAGGTAAATGCATATGCATGCTCATGTTGAAACATTTCATATCTTTTTCCAAAACCATGCAATGCCATGTTTATATCACGATTCATAAAAACATTTCATTTACAATGGAAAACAAGGCAGTGGATACAAGCACTGAGAATCTCTTGGTACGTGTCTTCCAATAGGCTATACAAGCACTACCAATTGCCGTTTTTACCGGTACTAACTGGAAGGCTCGATACCTAACTGCGCATATTTCTAGACTTTCATCAAGGACACACAAGCCAACATAATACCACAACCACACCCTTTACCCAGATTCACGAAAGTATTCACTAATTTTTTTCAAAACAATATACATTTTCAATGTGTGAAGTATGCAACAATGTTCAATGCAAATAAATGAGAAATTAGTTTCAATTCTTCTAATTCTCATGCAATTTCTACAACAATCATAGCTATCCTCCACGAATAGCCCAAAACAGATATCTCTAAACAAATAAATAATTTCCAACAAAGATATACTTTCCAAAATTTCAAGATGGGAGTGATAATGCATATCCAACTCCATCATCATCATTCCAATTGCATAAAACCCAACATCATTTCTATTTCCTCTTTACAAAATTCACATTTTAGGGAAAAATCTCATTTTCTTTATAAATTAATTCTAAGGATAAAATCTACCATTTTATCATAACTCAACCACATTTACAAACCCATACTCATATTCAAGAACTCATTTGAAAACCCAGCTTTTGATTTTTAAACCAATACCCTAGATTTTGTTTAAAAATTCCTAAATCACAATATTGTTTAGAAAAGCAAATAACCAAGTTAAAAATCACACAAAAGTGTGGAGAAATCCCTACTTCAAAACTAGAAGGTAAGAGAGAGAGTGGAGAAACCCTGATGAAGTCGAAAATCAACTTTGTTTCGATTAGAAAGAAGCTCTAGGTGAGCTCTACTTTTTTATCAAAGGGACTAGGGTGTAGAGATCAATGGATGATAGAGGTGGATGCGGGTCGGCTGTGGCCAAGAAACCTCCAATCCGCTATCCATCCGTCAGATTGGTGGATTGGAGAAAATCAAACCGCATTCGTTCGCCAATCTGGCGGATGTAGATTGAGCGGATTGGCAGATGGATGCGAATCGGTTTGGCGGTTTAAAATTTTATAAATTTTCAACATAATTTGACTTGTGTACTTCTTCAAAAAAAGAAAGAAAGTATTACAGTCAATGACTTAAAAAAGTAGTGCAATCACTGCATGCCGCATCCATATATTACAAGCACATCATGCCTCATCTACATAAAGTATTACAATCTGTGGTTCTTAAAATATAAAAACAATTCAAACCACCAAAACTATAAATAGAGTAGTAGTAGATATTGTATGCCTCTGTATTGTTACATCTATATTTGTTTTTGAAAACAAAAACCAACCAACATATATCTCTTTTTTATTTATTATTTTTAGAGTTAGATTTAAAAACCAAAAAATATAGACAAATAATACATTTATTTTTTTCAATTCAAAAAACATATTCAAGTTGAAAGCTCTTTTTTAACAGAATATTTGAACTCTTTTTCAATTGAAAATACAAACAGAATATCTAAACAAATTGAAAACACAAAGTCTTACAAATTGATAGGGGTTCCCGCGGTTTAGCAGTTCAGTTGCGGCCAAAGGAACCTCAAATCCGCCATCCGTCCAAAACTAGGCAGATTGGAAAAAAATCAATCTGCATCCGTCCAAAATACATCGGTTCGATTCGGTTTGGTTGATTTGAGTGGATCATTATATCCATTGCTCACCCCTAATGGATGATAGTGTATTTGAAGGTTGAAGATAGTTTCTAGAGAGAGGAAGAAAATTTGGGTTTTTGGAATGTAGAGAGAGAGTGAGATGAGAAAATGACTCAAAAGGTGGCTTTCTTGGACTGATATATGTGCAAATCGCTCAAGTGACCAAAACACCGCTTGAGCGACCAAACACAATAATTGAGACCGCTCGAGCGACCAAACACAATAATTGAGACTGCTCGAGCGAACGAAATTACCGCGCGAGCGCACAATGACACCCTCCTAGAAGTTTTACAAATAGAGCCAAGACTGCTCGAGCACAAGAAACACCACTCGAGCTAAAAACACTACTCTCTCAGTACTTTTGTAGACCTGCAAATATATTGAAGGTTCTCAAATACCGCTCGAGCGACCAAAGTACCGCTCGAACGAACTGACCAAAATCTGGGCAAAGTCTCCTTTGAAAAACGGACTCCCAACCTGTTCCAAACGTAACAATGACATCCAAATAACCAAACTCAATCAAGAAGAGGATGCATAAGGGTATGAACAACCATTTAAGACAATGAATGTTAGATCCAAAATAAGAAACGGGTTGAGTCTAAACTAGAATCGTTATAGGGTAGAGCGAGAGATGGAGTTAATTTTGTAAGTTAAATAACAAGAATATGACTAAAAATTATAGATAATATGATATATTTTGATAATAATTTATATTTAATGAGAATTATAAGATGTAATATGATAAATAAATAAGTAAAAATTAATATCAAGTGTAAAATTTTAGTATTTTAAATTTTTTGTTTTTTTTGGGGAAGTGGATTTTTGTAGAAACCCTCATATTTCTGAAGTAATGTTGTCAAGAGCGCCATACATACTAAGCAGAACACTAGCAAGGCGGGATCCAATATATAGAATGGGGCGAGAAATGCCAAAATTTGCCTTCGCCACATTTTCTCATCAAGGCAAGGAAAATCCGTGTAGAACCGAGCATGAGAGGAAAGACAAAAAAAGATTCACTATGTTTGGTTCCATTTTTTTGAATAATTTTTTCAAAAAGTGATTTGAAAACTCTATTTTGAAAAAGGGTTTTTGTTTGGTTTTCAAAAAAATATATCATTGCAATTTCAAGTTTCCCTCCAATTTAAGGAGAGACAATTTTGAAAAAAAATAAATTTGTCACATCAAAAAATAGTCTCATCTAGTTATATATATGTATATATATGTACATGTTATATATGTATGAAAATATAATTTGGTATGTAGCCATTTATCCGTACATGTCCTGTCATTAACTGTGTGACTTTATCATAAAATTTTCACTCATTTGAACCACAGAAAGCGTAAATTTTTTTTCCAAATTGCCATTAAAAAATTTGTTATGTAGAATTAAATTTTCATAAATGTTATGCGCAAAATTTATTTTATCACACAATATTGTAACATTAACACAAAAATATGTAACATCGTCTAAAATTGGCAGAACAAAATGTCCAAATTTTTTGTACTTCATGTTGCAAAAGTTTGTGAGTTAGTTATGATTTTGTTTTTTAATGCCAATTTGTAAAACAATTATGTGGTTGAAATGAGTGCAAATTTTATGATAAAATCACACATTTAATGGTAAGAAACAATGATTGAGACCCCCATTTTTTGGAGACCCCTACAACCCCCTTTGGATCTCCACCATTGATGGTGTGGGTCCCACACATACATGAGTGGGTCCCACACATACATCAATGGTAGAGATCCAAAGGGGGTCGTGGGGGTTTCAAACATTTTTCGTAAGATGTGTACCCATAAATGGTTACATACCAAATTATATTTTCATACATATATAGCATGTACATATATATATATATATATAACTAAGGTGAGAGTATTTTTTTGATGTGACAATTTTTTTTTCCAAAAATTGTCTCTCTCCATAAATTAGAGGGAAACTTCAATTTGCAATAATACATTTTTGAAAAGTGTGTTTAATTTTCTGAATAACCAAACAAGTACTCTAAAATTTTCAAAAAAATTGAATTTGAAAAACAAACAAACAAAGTGATTGTGATTCTTAAATTTTTCCACTTTTTATTTATATGTTTTTATTTTTTTAGGAAAGAATAAAAATGACTTTTAAAGTTCCTAACAAACATGAAATATTGTTTAAATTTTTTTCTCTCTCAATTATCAGCTAAATAACCCCCAAACAAATGATTTAGAGGTAGCCTAGCGATGCAAAAAAAATGATTTGGAGGTTATCTAGCAATGCACTAACTAAGTGCATTTATTTGGATCACAAAACCTTTTTAATTTGGGAACTTTTTTCATAAATCCCATTTTTAACACTTTTATACCATAAAACCCAATTTTTGACTATCCCATTAGGTCTCATTTAGTGTAATAAGACCAAAGTATCCTCCCTCCATTCTAAAACCAAAAACATTCATATTCCCCATATCTTTATTCCAAAAAAATGCATTAACTAAAATCTTTCCACACTAAAACCATTCATATTCCCCATATCTTCACTGAAAATCTTTCCACACTAAAACCAGGTTCTTTGGGTTGATTCAACACTGCACTTTCATTACTCAACATAAAAACCACCGGCAACATTGTCGGCCGGTCTTCTGTCCGTTGTTGTACACACAAAAGCCCCACTTGAATACATCTCACCACTTCATTTGTTGAAAATGACTCATCCAATACTTCATCCATTAGTTGCAGAGGACTCTATTCATCCCACAGCTTCCATGCCTAGATCAATTTGAATATATTTGTCTCTTTTAGTAATAGTATTCAAAAGTATTAGAAATTGAAGTTTTAGATTTTAGAAAAGATATTGTACTCGCATACTTACATGCCCTACGAGGTTGAGGTCGTGTTCAGGGTGATAAAATCCGCAATTCTTCTTACCGCTTATTATCTCTAACACTAAAACACCAAAACTAAATACATCTGACTTCACCGAAAAGTGACCACTCATTGCATAATCTGGAGACAAATAATCACTGCATGGCAAGACAACATTTTTAACATTTGTAAAGTAAGTTAACATATGTTTTTGACAGATTCACAAATGACAAAACTAACTATTGGATTGAATATTCTTCCCATGCCCATCAAACATGCCAAATAAGTAAACTGAAGATCGGGAGCTATATCCCATCCATAAACTCACGTATTTTCAAGTCATATCTCTTATTTGAAGCACAATACAAATGAGAGATCTCTTAGCCTCCAACTGAGCTGAAATTTGACACACATAATGAGCATAATAGTATCTAACCCAACAGTCATTTTTTGTGAAATGCAATCCAAAAAAAATATTTATCAATCAGAGTACAATTAAAAGGTTCAAGATAAACTTTGCCCTTATATACATGCCAATATACATATATATATATATATATATATATATGTTTTTTGATATATGCTAAGATCACATACTAAGTTCCCATTACTATCTTGGTCATTTCCTCCGTCTGCTCCCCACCAAAAATTCTTGCAATGCCAAAGTCAGAGATCTTTGGGCACCTCTCGTTGTCTAATAAGATTTTACTTGCTTTAAGATCTCTACGAATGATTCTCAATCTTGAGTCTTCATGAAGATAAAGTAGTCGTCGTGCAATTCCAACAATGATGTTGAAGCGCTTTTCCTAAAGTAGCAGTTTTCTCCTAGTTTGATCTAGATATGGGAGCACCAAAATCCAATTAAAAACTTTATTTTTTTTATACTTCTATCATACTTTGACTAAGTACTTCCATGTTTTCACCCTCACCAAAAGAAGGAAACTTAAAATTAATGTCCTTAAGGATAATGCTGGTAATTGGATCTCTGATTCTGTTGGTATTAAAGCCACTATTCTTGATTATTTACAGACCCTCTTTCGTGGTAATCCTATAAATCAATTGGACCATTGGAGTCACCTCTCTCCCACCCATTTCACTCTTGAAGATAATGATGGCCTGGCTAAGCCTATATCTAATTCTAAGGTTTTGAGAGCTGTTAAAGGTATTGGTGCCTTTAAGGCACCTGGTAAAGATGGCATCCAGGCCATATTTTACCACAAATATTGGCATATTGTTGGACACTCTGTGTGTGAATTTGTGAAAAACTGTTTTCAAACAAAAATGATTCCTGACAGTATCAATGAGACTCTTATTGTGTTGATTCCTAAGGTTGAGCACCCTGAAACCATTCGGCAATTCAGGCCCATTACCTTGTGTAATGTCTCTTATAAGATCATTACCAAACTGATAGTGGGTAGAATCCACTACAAGAAAAAAACACTTTCCGTGACCAACATTTTGGTCGCGAAAGGGCCCCACACATACATGAGTGGGTCCCACATATACATCAATGGTGGAGATCCAAAGGGGCTTGTGGGGGTCTCAAACATTTTTCGTAAGATATGTACCCATAAATGGTTACATACCAAATTATATTTTCATACATATATAGCATGTACATATATATATATATATATATATAAAACTAAGATGAGAGTATTTTTTTGATGTGACAATTTTTTTTCCAAAAATTGTCTCTCTCCTTAAATTAGAGGGAAACTTCAATTTGCAATAATGCATTTTTGAAAAGTGTGTTTAGTTTTCTGAATAACCAAACATGTACTCTAAAATTTTCAAAAAAATTGAATTTGAAAAACAAACAAACAAACAAAGTGATTGTGATTCTTAAATTTTTCCACTTCTTATTTATATTTTTTTTTAGGAAAGAATAAAAATGACTTCTAAATTTCCTAACAAACATGAAATATTGTTTAAATTTTTTTCTCTCTCAATTATTAGCTAAATAAACCCAAAAAAAAAAAAAAATTATTTGGAGGTTGTCTAGCAGTGCACTAACTAAGTGCATTTATTTGGATCACACAACCTTTTTAATTTGGGAATTTTTTTCATAAATCCCATTTTTAACACTTTTATACCATAAAACCCAATTTTTGATTATCCCATAAGGTCCCATTTAGTGTAATAAGACCAAAGTACACTCCCTCCATTCTAAAACCAAAACCATTCATATTTCCCATATCTTTATTCCAAAAAAATGCATTAATTACACACCACTATTTAATGTTCCCATATCTTCACTCCAAAAAAATGCATTAACTACACACCACTATTTAATGTTGATATATATTACACACAAAAAATTAAACATGATTCTTTATTGATTGTCATTATATTTTGGTAGTTCTCATGCATCCAAATGTTGACTATACGTGATGACGTGAATGTTCACATTAGATGACATAAATGTGAACGTTCACATCAGATGACGTAAATGTGAATATTCACATCAGATGATGTTGTGATAAAGATGATGTTAGGGTTCACATCAGTATTGCATCAAATTATGCATTCACAAGCCTCAACTTTCATTTGAATATAAACATAACGTGAATGTTCATTCTAAAACATATGAATTATTCATATGTTTTAGTGTGAACATTCATGTCATATGATATTAACATTATGAACATTAACATTTGTATTCACATTCATATGTTTTAGTGTGAACATTCACGTCATCTGATGTTAACATTCAAGTCATCACGTACAGTCAATATTTGGATGCATGAGAACTACCAGAACATAATGACAATCAACAAAGAACCATGTTTAATGTTGTGTGTGTAATGTATATCAATATTAAATAGTGGTGTGTAGTTAATGCATATCAACATTAAATATAAGGGTATAAGAGTCTAAGAAAATAATGTAAATTAAGAAAAATGACCTTATGGAATAAATGTATAAATACACGAGACTAAGTGAGTTATAAATTTCCTTCATAAACTTTTTGGGTTAGAACACTCCTTAGTAAGATTTATCAATAAAAACCCCTTTTAATTTTCTATATAACTTTTCATAAAGCCAAAAATTTATTAAATAAGCAAACCTCAGACAACGCCTTATTTTATTTTATTTTTTTTTTGAATAAAGGCCCAGACTTTAGTTTTTAGTCAAAAAAAAAAAAAATTAAAATTTGCTATAAGTTGTCACAACACGCTCTCTATTTTTCTACACATTTTTTTTTCATAAAAAGCTAAAAAAACTAACTAAAATAACTAATTCCTAAACAAGGCCTAAATATCAAAAAATGTGAGTATTTTTATATTTTTATATATTTATAAATACAATTCAGTTTTAAAATTTCTAATATGTCTACTGAAGTCTCGGCCCCAAATTTCTAACAGAATTCAAAAAAATAAAAATAAAAAATGGAACTAAACTCGAATCGCTCCTATTAAACCTCCTAATGTAAATGGACCTTAGTTGCCTCCATTAAACAAACATTGCACTAAAGTGTCTTGAAACGAACAACATCAATATCACAATTACAAACAATTAGCATATGTTGTTCCAAAAAAAACAAAAATTAAAAAAATTAGCATATGCAAGGAGGACAGTACTTGAAAAAATTTACAGAACCAATCCAAATGTAGTTCAGCAAATGCAAAATTTTACTTCCAAAATTCCTACAATGAAATTGTAGCGAAGTATGATCTAAATTATAATTACACCATATTAGTCAGGATGAAACTGCAAACAGGCTCGTGAACAATTAAAAGTACTAATTTTCACATGGAACCTCTATACCTAAAAACATTGCAGGGCTGTCTACAATATCACACACACAATGGCTCAAAACCATAATGGGGGAGGGTATAGTCCTTGTCTGATTTTAATTTTTGAAAATTATTTTCCATTATTTTCTATTTTCGTGATTTTTTGTTTTTAGTAAGCCTTTTTTATATTTTAGTCAATTTTTTAATCTTTAAATATATCTAATCTTGACACACTTCAAACGTAAACAATTTGTGAAAAAATGTGAAAAAAAATTTAATAATAAAAAAAAAAACGAAATGTGATTATTTCTTTTTTGTCCTTACTAAACTTTTTAAAGATTTCTTCACTAATATGTTTACTTTTTAGGTGTGTCTTAATTAGGTGCATATTAAAAAATAATAATTGACTAAAATACAAAAAATAAAAAAAAGTTCACCAAAAACAAGAAAAGCACAACGAAAAACTCAAAAACAGGTGTTGAGTTTGAAAATCAAACAAGAATGGAAGAATTTTACAAAATGCAGAAATAATTCAATGTAATATTAATCCTTCTATCGCTGAGCCAATGTTGTGATGGTAATGTCATTAGAAGTTTGTCCACCTGACAACGATTCGATCTTCACTGAAAATCTTTCCACACTAAAACCAGGTTCTTTGGTTTGGTTCAACACTGAACTTTCATTACTCAACATAAAAATCACCGACAACATTGTCGGCCGGTCTTCTGTCCATTGTTGTACACACAAAACCCCACTTGAATACATCTCACCACTTCATTTGTCGAAAATGACTCATCCAATACTTCATCCATTAGTTGCAGAGGACTCTATTCATCCCACAGCTTCCATGCCTAGATCAATTTGAATATATTTGTCTCTTTTAGTAATAGTATTTGAAAGTATTAGAAATTGAAGTTTTAGATTTTAGAAAAGATATTGTACTCCCATACTTACATGCCCTACGAGGTTGAGGTCGTGTTCAGGGTGATAAAATCCCCAATTCTTCTTATCGCTTATTATCTCTAACACTAAAACACCAAAACTAAATACATTTGACTTCACCGAAAAGTTACCACTCATTGCATAATATGGAGACAAATAATCACTGCATGGCAAGACAACATTTTTAACATTTGTAGAGTAAGTTAACATATGTTTTTGACAGATTCACAAATGACAAAACTAACTATTGGATTGAATATTCTTCCCATGCCCATCAAACATGACAAATAAGTAAACCGAAGATCGAGAGCTATATCCCATCCATAAACTCACATATTTTCAAGTCATATCTCTTATTTGAAGCACAATACAAATGACAGATCTCTTAGCCTCCAACTGACTTGAAATTTGACACACATAATGAGCATAATAGTATCTAACCGAACAGTCATTTTTTGTGAAATGCAATCCATCAAAAATATTTATCAATCAGAGTACAATTAAAAGGTTCAAGATAAACTTTGCCCTTATATACATGCCAATATATATATATATATATATATGTTTTTTGATATATGCTAAGATCACATACTAAGTTCCCATTACTCTCTTGGTCATTTCCTCTGTCTGCTCCCCACCAAAAATTCTTGCAATGCCAAAGTCGGAGATTTTTGGGCACCTCTCGTTGTCTAATAAGATTTTACTTGCTTTAAGATCCCTATGAATGATTCTCAATCTTGAGTCTTCATGAAGATACACTGCTGGAAATGAGGTTTTTAGAAACGCCGCCAATTCTTTTTGCGACGCTTAATACCAAACGTCGAAGATGCAGTTGTCGCTGTATCTTTATGGCATTTGGAAAACATCATTATATTCATATAAAAACGCCGCTAAATGTGTTAAATGATGTCACACCAGCTGTCACGACCCCAAACCGTCCCTAGTAGTTTGGTGTCGTGATGGCCAGTAATCCGAGATTACCGAAGGCCAACCCTCAAAGTTCACACACAATCAGAGTACAGTTATATGGGGCTGACAAGTACGGAAGTGATTTATACAAACAGATTAGTCCATAAGAGCTGTGCATAAGTCAAATGAGATAGCAATCATAGGTTAGCTGGGTTACAACTCGATTACAAACGAAACAAAGTGCAAATTACATCTTTCATATTAACAAAAGGGCTTCACAAGCTGACATGAACAAAATACAAGAAATACGGCTAGAAGCAAAATCTTCAGAATTGCCGACATAACAAGTATACAAAACACGCGTCTTGATCAAAAGACTTCTCAAGCCGACGTATGCAACATACAAGTATTACAAATCGAGAAGCATAATTTTCAAGACTGCCGACGTAATCACAGGTTAGGCCGACATAATCAAAATCCAAAATAAGCTCCAGATTCACATCTAGGCGTCACCGCCTTCTTGCTCATCACCTACATATATATAGAGAGGGTGAGCTTGGATACTCAGTGAATGGTATAAATAATAAAGGGGTTTGCATGAATAATAGCCGAAATCC